AATTGCCATTATTGAAAAGGAAAAAAAAACTATTCCCACATTTAAAAGAATTGCTGATGTATTATTCCATTCCTATATTATAAAGACAAATTATTTGGGAGTGGGACATAAAAATATCTTCCATAGCCAATGTGTAGAGTGGCAGTTGAAAGAATTGATCTTGACAGAGGAAAGCAGAACTTGGAATTCTTTCTTCTGTTCCTATGTTTTTGGAGAGTGAGTTTTGTTAAACTGTGAAAGCAACTACTTGGCACTAAGGGACGTAAGAATGTCTCTTAAGTTCCAAGTAATGAGAATTGCCTGGCCAGGATGTTGTAGGTTCCACTTAGGCACAGGGTGAGGCAATGCTGCTCAGCATCACAGTGAGCTGTAAAAAAAACAAACTACAGGAGGCACAGGGAGAGACAGCAGCCAATCCAGCCAGAGTGGGAAGCACAGTGGGAAGCTGGGGGATTGCCAAGCTTTCCTAGCTGAATCAATTGCACAACCATTATAATGCCATGGCTTACTGAGTGATAAATTTACTGATGAGTTTAACAGGTGTGAAAATTGCAAAGCACTTTGACCATTCTGTGATGCTGTGGTTCTAAGCCTCAGGCATGAAGATTTATCCAGCAGCCATTTATTGTATGATAAAGTGTCCCCAGGACTGGGATAGGTAGAAGTCTCTGTCATTCATCTGGCCTGGTAGATAAGGAGATCCAGGGTTCAGAGTCACTGTTTGTCACTTAAAATAAACACAGACCCCAAACTGAGCACATTGACTCAATACCTGCCTTTACTGTGTGGAGAGAGGGGGTTGCCCTGCTCAAGCACTTGCCCCAGTAGCTGCTTGCATCTACTGATAGATGCCTTCTTATCTGTGGGCTCACAGAAAAATAACCTTGGGCCTCTAAATAAGATGTGTGGGATACAACTTCTCTGTCATAAGATGATGGTTTGATTAAAGTGACACAACAGAGGCATCTTGTTTGAATGAGTACAGAGGAGTAGTGAGTAGGAAACATAAGTGCATTAAGTTGGGGTAATTTGCACTGAAGCACAGAATAGCAAGAAAGGACTGAATGCAAGACTTGTCCTAGGATGGGACTGCATCAACTTCTGGTTTACTATCAGGAAAATTATTCTGAATCATTATAATCCAGTTCCCATAGTGAAAGTAGGTTAAAAAAAAGAACTTTTTTAGTTCAAGGACAGAGTTAATTAAGTTAACCAAGAAGGACATTCACATTTGAAAGATCAGCTTTTCTTAAGGACATAACTTTTTCTTTTGGAAAGGAGCTTCAAAATTAACTTTAGGGCTTCAGTAACAGAAGGGCAAATGAAAGGATATTCTTTTATCCAGTCCATTATGTTTTTAACTTTAGAGTTAGTCTCATGCTATTGTGGAGCCTGCCACAGTTTACTGGAAAGCTTAAAATAATAGAGGTATAATAAATGTCCTTGAACATTGTCTGATTGCATCTGACAAAAAACATGCTACAACAGTAATTTTTACTGGCCTGAGTTTCAACTTTTGGATGGCAAGGAGTTAGTCAAAACTACCCCATTTTCCATATTTTTTTTTCTTTGTAATGAATCAAACTGTTGGAAAAAGTTTCTGGAATATCCTCCTTGGAGGGGATGACAATTAGTTACATTGATAACACATTTGCTTTGTGTATTTGTGGGAGCCAAGGATTACTGTCCTCTCACTTACATGATCAGCTGGGATATAGTCTTCTGAATAATCCAAGCTGTAGAGTGAGAAGTACCTCTGCAACAGCCTAAATTCACACATTCTGAGATTAGTCTCCAAAGCATCAATTTAGCCCCAAGAAAAGCTTAATTTTAAGAGTCCTTTTGTAAGGAGATTTGTATGGTTGGTCTCCTTATGTAAGGATGCTAATTTAATGTCATCTACCAGAGCCTATGCAGTTCTTGTGTCTTAAGGTATAGGCCAGACAGGAAAACCTTGCCTGAAATATGAGCACTAGTGTGGTCCCAAGAATCACATGAGAATCTTAAAAAGAAAAGCTTTGCTCACCTTAGAATTTTCAAAGGAGAAACCTTTTATAACATAAATAGAGATAAGGCCATAAACTGGTGAATTTCTATCCGCTCTCTGACAGAAAGGGAATTGGTGTGCTTTGGCAGGCTTAATTCTTGTAATGTAAAGCCAGCTCTCTGCAGAGCTGTGAGGCCTCTGTTGAATGTGAACCCTGACCAAGTCCCAAGACAACACATTCATGGATTGTCTTCTTCCTAGAGAGGAAGTCACTCCTGCAGGTGGTGGAACACATGGGGTGTTTCTGTCAGTGGACAGGTGGGTTTCCTCCCTGTAAGGATCTTTGCTGCCCATTGTGTCAAGTTTTCATGAGTTTGGTCACCAAGTAATCACCTGGCTGGTAGTTTTAGAACCAGATTTTAATAGCCCAGCTTCATTGCTTCTTTTTACATCAGACTTCAGGTATGTGTCAGGTTTTCTATCAGACCAGATTAGAGGTTTAGTGCTGTTTCTGACAGTGATGAATGCTGGATGTTTTGCAGACACAAAAAACTACTCAGGATGAGTTTATGATCCTAAGGCATGGAGATTCAGGGCTCTGAGGACACTTAATCCAAACTGCTAGGGTGGATGATGTTTTTTTTATGATGTTAGGACATATCTCTAAGGCTTTTAAAAAAAAATTATGTCAATCCTTTTGCCTTTATCATATTCCCAAACTTTTTTGCTTTTTGTTACTTAGGAAGTGTGCTGAACGAAACTAAATGCAAGATATCCAAGTAACAAAATATTCTGTACTAGGCAGAGCAAAAGGCAGAGGTCTGCATTTATTTTAAAATATTTGCTCCATGAGGTAACAACCATCTAAAAACCCATTTATGGCTGAGTTGTCATGAGCAGATCTTTGCAGTAAGTTTCTTCATACTTCACGTTTAAATTTCAGCTGTTATTATGCTGCTTGGTTATTTTTGTACAAAGTCTTCTAGATGCTCTCCTGTACTCTCCCTGTGTCCTAATAAATGCATAAACCACCTCTGTTTTAACAACTGAAAGTCTCCTTGTTTCTGAAATGTGTGAAGGTGGGATAGGAAGTGAGTATCCTCTCCTGGTGGAAAATAAGGTCTCTGACTCCTGTAATGTCATTTTAGTTGTATCCTTTTGGTAGCCTTGGAGCCCTTTGTACTCTTAATACTTGCCCAGAAAATAGTGCAGTGCTGGGGCACTGTGTCCTGGCTAACCTCCTGAGGACTTCACACATGAATAAAGTTATAGGTGATTTGTGCCATGATTCTTTGCTAGTATCTCTTTTTTTGTGAGGAACAGTCCCCTTGATAAGGATAAGCTGGAAGCAAGGTTCTGTTTGAGCCTTGTATTCAGGGTATGATCCTGCCAGTCTCCTGAACTCTGGTGATTTGCTTGAAGGGAGAGGGAAATATATCTGATTCCTTGATGGGATAGCTTGGAAGAATGCAATGAAAAAATTCTCAATGAAAAGCACAATGGTATTTTGCTCCCTCTTCAGGTTCACTCTAGGAAATGACTGAATAATTCCTCATTTATTTAAGAATTTAAAAAGCCCCTAATGAATGTCTGTGTGCAGTTTCTGCTTCTCTAATCCCCACTTGGCTGCAGCTTCTTAAGATATGCATTGAACCAATATGAGCTGTTCCTGAAAAAGCTGCTCCAATATTATGTTCCTGAAATCTGTGTAGCGGCATCATAAATCTGTCAGCACACAGAAAATAGCAATTTAAGAGTATTCTTTGCATTCTATTATGAGATAGAGTTCCACAAAAGTTTCCTTTGCTGCTTCCTTATTTTCAAAAATCTTTACAAAATTACTTAAGATATTTAAATATATTATATTTGGGGACTGTTTTGTTTAGTTGATTTTTGTTCACACTTCTCAGGAACTGAAAACAGCTCTGTGACCACAACAGGGCAGCAGCATTCTTTCCTTATCTCTTTGTATTAATTTTTTTATAACCCCCAAGTTAATGCTCATTATTAATCTCTGGCTACTATATTTATCACTTTCAGCCACTTAGGCCTGACTCCTAATAACAGATTGCATGTTTTTGGTAGCTTTCCTGCTTCATCCTAAAGGTTCTTCAAATCCCTGGCGGGACTATTAAATCTCACTCTCCCTCTACCAGACTTCTCTTCAGTTTAAATAGTCTCTGTGGCCTTTCCAGTTCTCTAAAACATTCCTGCCTCAGACAATGAGTGAAAAAGGAGAGAGTAGAGTGTGAAACACAGGCCACAATAGTCTGATATAGGAATGTGTGTTTGGAGAGGCCAGTCAACCTTAGAGCTGGAGACTTTGGGAATGTTCTGTGCACAGAGACACCATGGCCCGTAAGAATCATGTTTGTCCCCATGTGTGTGTGTGCAGCAGTGCTGTCTTTGTTGGCATTTGACCCTCTGCAGAGTAGCAGAGGATCCTTTTCAGGCGGAAGTTTGCTGTTTGGGAGGGCCTGCAAAGGGCCTTATTGGGGCAGTAACACTGGTCCCCAGCTGTTGTTGGCAACTGTGTCATGGCTCCTTTCAAAAATGGAAGCAGCCTCTATTCTGATCCTCCTCTTTCAGCCTCTTCTGATCCTCACCTATTCCTGAAGCTCCCTGCTGTGAACATCAAAAATCATCTTGTCATACCCACCCTAAGTTTATTCCCAGCCCGACTGTAATGCTCATTTATTAATCCATTTGGCCTTTAATGAACCAACTCTTTCCAAACCAGTGTTTATCCCACTAATGTGTTTCTCTAGAGTAGTCATGTTTTCATGGCCTCTAGCTCAAGCTTTTCTAGAGTTCTAAAATGGTCTGCACATGTCCTGGGCTACTCTAATTGCTCTTCTCTTTACTGTTTGAATTTATTATGGTTCCCTGGGAAAGGCCAGACAGTTTGTATTGAAGTTCTTTTTATTTGTTACTCCATTTTTTAAAAAAATTTGTCAATTAAAGAAATAAAAAAATTATTGAAACCATAGTTCTTGTGTCTTTTTCAGTAGTGTTATCTGTGAGGATTTTCTCTCTCTCCTTTTACAGAACGATGTCCATGTTTTTGTGCTGCTGTCATAGAGAGGGAATGCTGCAGCTCCATCAGCCCTGACTGGAGCTGGGGAACTTCACAGCTGGAGATCCATTCAGGCAGTGTTATCTCTCTTGGCCCATCCTGTGGTCTCCATGAAGGCAGACATGTTTCTTTATGGCAAAGTCTGTGCAACAAAATTCCACTTTCTTCATGCTTTACAACCAGTGGTAAGCTTGGCTTACTTAGGCTGAGTTTTTCAATATTGTATTTTGATCCAAATATCTGGGCTTGAAGTCTTCATAGGAAAGTGAACATGCCGATTTTGGAAGGGGTTCAAATTTGGGCCTTCCTGAAAGCTGCCACCTCTACAATGCTTCTTTGCAACATCAGTGATTTTCAGAAGGTTGTTTATTGTGGGGCTTGATCAAGATAAGGAACTTTCTGGTAGCATGTCTGAGACAGAATGTCCTGCTCTTGGCTGACATCCCATTTCTGGTTTGTGCTTTCTGTCACTTTGCACTGCTGACCTAGGCTGGCTGCTCTTTTTATTTCACTCAGCATTGTGCCTTAGTAGCTGGTGACAACAGTGGGAATGCTGAGTACAGGTGAAGGCTTCTGAAGGAGTATTGTTTTTGCAGAAATGATTCATGAGGATATTCACTTTGAAGTAAGCATGCAATGCTTCAGGAGCTTCAGTAAGCTCCTACTTACTTCAGGAGGTGTCACTTGTGACAGACCAGCAGAAGTGTTTCTGTATGAAGAAAGTAGCAGGATTTATACTGCCATCTATGTCTCTTAGCAGGAACTGCTTATTTTAGCAGACCATTGGCCCTGACTGCCCTGAAAAGGCACAATTAGAGGTCACTCAGTAAAGAGAAACAGCCCAGACCTTCACTACTGCTCTGTCTTATAGGGAGCTCAGAGTCACTCTTTATGCTTTGGAGAACCAGATATTCTTTTCCACCCTGGTGCATAAGATATAAATGGGTATAAATGTCTTGTGCTTTTTTCTTTCTTCTATAAGCATCTGTCTTCTCAAATGAGTGATAGTGTGAATGGTGACTTGAATTAGTGTGTTTTTAAGTTCTTTTAGGAGCAGCTGCAGGTGGTTTTTAGGATGCTCACTTGTATGTGACTTTTTAGCTTTCTCAACCACAATTTGATCCACTGCTCACATACTGTTAGCCTTTATCAATCCTTTACATTGCTGAGGCTTTAGATGCTGGTGCAGAGCCAAAGGAACTGTTCAAACATAAAGTACATTTGAGTCCCATGGCCAAAGAATGAACTTCAGCAGTTACTGTGCTGAACGATCTCAGTGTTTGATATTCAACATATATACGCTTTAAGTGGATGAGTGTTGTTCAGGTAAATCACCACGGCCCAGGATAGGCCTCTGCCAATCACACTTTGGAAGCCAGAGGGCAATAAAACTGCTCAGTTTTGAATTATGTAAGGTGCTGGTCTGGATTTTCATTTCCAGAGACAAACTGTTGAAAGTGTTCTTTGAAGTGTTCATTATCATAAAGCAAACCAATTTTTTTTCCTTCATCACACTGAAAAAAAAAGTTTGACAGCTTTTCCATTTCAGATACAGAGATTCAATTATCAGAAATTTGTAAATGCATCAGAAAAAGTAAAATGTAAATCAGAAGGGATTTCTTTACTTGGATTTTTTTTAATCCAATAGAAGAAAAGCAGGACAATCTGGGAACTTCTTATCCAGGTCCATTTGGAACTATAACTAAGAAAATGACAGCATCTTACTTAGTTGCCCTGCTTTATGTAAGTCCATGCAGTCTGAATCTGGAAGTGTGTTCTGGTGTAGTTCACCCTAGGACAAGGTGCTATAAAGCCAGCAGAGCAGGAATGTGCTCTTCTGTTTTACCTGCAGAATTGCTTAGTCAGTTACAACTGCTTAGAGCTGCAATCAATCAGAACTGTGTCTATAAAGCCATCACAAGTAATGAGGCATTAGCAAAACACAACTCTCAACTTGATTTGCTCTGCTTATATACCACATTGTGCTCTGCTTGCATGAGTAGCATTTAATGCAGATAATATCTTTTCACTTTTATACAGGTCACAGAGAATATAAAAAAAATGTAGAAGACAACAAACACAGTTTTTCAATACTGTTTTATACATGCTTAAGAGTAAATCTTGGCATTAAAATAGAATTTGCCAGTGTTATTGATGCACCCTGGAGGAAGAAAGGCAAATCACTCATGGAAATGGAATCATAGAAACTCTGCCAAACTTGAACTGGTGTGGTTAGTAAGGAAGCAATAGTCTGCAATGGTAATAAGTCACTTATCAAACACATAATGTAATAAGGACAGTAAATTGGTGAGTTCAGTCAGGCTGTCCTGATTGTTCCCATTCACATGACATCTGCCAACTCATTTTATGGACACTGTTACACATACTGCTCAAGGCTAAAGGTCTTTTGAATTTCTGTTGTGCGTTGGTGCCGACTTAAAAGAGTAAGATAAAAAGTAAGCAGATAATCACAGTAACTTCCCATTCTGCAAACCCCAAAGAAGCCATTAATCCATTCTGTCAACCTGCTGTGTCAGGACCGATTTAGTATTGTGAACTTTTGTCTCTGCTTTGGAGTGAGCTTTGCCCTGTGCTTAAGTATTGTCAAAGAGAAGGCTTAATTCTGCCAGCTGATTCTGATAATACTCTTGCCAGCATTACTTGTGGTGGAAGTGTGAGATTCTTAGCAAATTCAGTATTTATTAGTTCTTCACCTAGTTGTTCAGTCAATCTGCAAACTGCTTTGATATAAGGAAATATATTGGAACTCTTCCTAAACAGAGGCATGTTTTATTGTCACACATTTTTATGGGTTAGGAAAATCAGGACCAATCTACAATCCCCCTGAAAAGCCTCAGATAATTTACAGTTTATGTGTCCTTTGTTACTAAATAACAAAAAATCAGTGTCTGAGTAATTTAGGGCCTAACAACTTGTGGTCTCACATTGCTATCCCAACTAAATTAATTTAATAAAAATTGCTTACCTGTGAAGACCTGACTGTATGTTGTGATCTTCAGAGCCCTTTCAGTGTTTTGTAGCATATTGGTTATAATTGGAGAAAAGTTATATTTGAGCTCTTTAAAATGGGGTTGAGGGCCACTATCTTTGAATAATGTTTAGATTTGGATAATATATTTGACCATTTTCTTCTGCAAACTTGTAAAGCTGAAGGATTAGAAGAAACAGCTAAGGAATAAAACAAATATGTGCGCTGTATGGGGAAGACTATTTTAAAGACTTGAAATAACCTGTGTTCACCCTCCTCTCCCTCAGTTATCTGTTTAGCAAATGCTAATAAAATTTAAATCGGGTGGGAGGAAAATATATTTGCTGCAGTATTAGTACTCAACTGGAAGTTTCAACAGGTATGTACTTGTGCTGAACTTGGGTCAAATAACTTGGAATCCAAGTTCTCATGGTAGCCACATATGGTAGGCAGGGAAAGCTTTGTAAGCTTTTTTTGTCGTAGTCACAGTTATAAACTGCCTTAAAATGAACTGCCTGTTATTGTTTCCATTGCCACATCTGTAAACAGCGTGTGCATGGAGCAGAATGACAGATAGATCTGCATTTTTAGCTGTAGATGAATGCTCACTATAAGGACAGCTGTGGTGGTGGGAGAGGTGCTTTCTGTGAGCTGCTGCTGATGTCTCTTTTGTCTTTGGGAACTGGTCTGATGGATGTGCAAACAGAACTCACTCTTTTGGTACAAAGTCAGCAGGATTAGACCAGATCAGCTATTTTATCAACATCAGTTAACCCAGTGTGTGTGATGAAGTCTTAGTGGAAGTACTGTACATGATCATCTGCAGCACTAGATCTGAAAATCTAATCGTCTCAGGCAAAGAGGTGGTGACAGGCAGCTGAGAGCTCGATCTTATACCAGAAAAAAGCTGCCTTTGCAGAAGGCCACCTTGCCATTGCCAATTGCAGGAGCTCTGGGTTGATTCACACACCAGCAGGGAAGGTTCTTATTTCATTTTCTGTGCATGATTTTACAAACAGGAACAGCAGACTCTAAAACTTACTGAATTGTGAAGCTCATTCTGAACCCCTAATGTCACCATCAGGAATAACTAAGTTTTTCTAGATGTCATTTAAAAATGAAACTGCAGTGGAATTAGTTCCAACCCTGTTTCTGTCACCACTTTTTCTCTCTCCAGTCTTTCTGCCTCATTTCCTTATTTACCTCATGATGCTGCCAGCATTAATTACATAATAGATATTATGAGTTTAAAGGAGAGGTGTGGAAAAGACCCAAAGCTTTTAAGCACAATCATCTGTTGGTAAAAGTTACCAGGCTGTTGTCTGGGTTATCTGTATTTAACCAGGGATTTCTCCTTCAGTCATGAGAACTGGAGTGTCCCAGTCTCTGAGAAAGTCAAAACATGTGGAGGGAACAGCAGATGAAATTAAAGTATTTCCTAAGTGCCCATGGTAACTGTCCCCTTAGCTGATAATTCTGAACCTGTTAAACATTGCTGGAAATAGATTTCGGTCTCTGATGATCCTCCTGTTGTGCAAAAATAGGCTTTGTAAATCCGCCTCCACACATGATTAGTGTTTCTTAAATTGGCCACTGATCACTGAAAACTGACAAAAATTATTACTACTAGCATTACATATTCTATGGAAGGATTTTGGTTTTGGATGGATGAATACTTCCCTAAAAATCACTCATGTACCTAATTATATAAATAACAGTACAGCATTGTAGTGATGACTGGGAGTGGCAGCTAATTAATGCTAATTGACCTCCCACTTAACATTATCAGCTTTTACTTTCCTGAAAAGCTTCTTATCCAGGCCAGCATGTGCTTTTTCTGTTTCAAACCGTTGTTGCCAAACCTTTCCTGACAAGCACTGCCATGGCACACAGAGGTGCTGGCTTTTTCCTGTCCCAAATTCCCCCTAACCCTGTGCAGTCAGTAGCTGCCAAGTGCTCCTCATCAGTTCACAAAGATGATCTTTGAAGTATTCTGAAACATAGTACCTGTCAGTTAAGAACAATGATTTCATGCCCTTTTCCTCTAATATTTGATGTAAAACACTCTCAGGGTAAGATGCTGCTGGGGTTAAAAACAAACAGCTCATGATAGTTTTCATAGTGTTCTGCAAGTGATGAATGTCCAGGGTTTCATCTCAGGCTTCATAAGGGATAGGAAGAATTGTTTCTTCTCTCTGGATCTTGTTCTACTATTTGTGTAGTGATAAAATGTTTTAAATCATTCAGCTCTTGTTCCATGGGTATTTCTCTTGACCCCAATGCAGGTGGCAGGCATGACTTTGGCTCAAAAAATGCTACTTTTGGGTCCCACTGATGATTTTTTTTCTTTCATTTTTCTTTCCCTGTTTTGAACTGTGCAAAGTTAGTTGTCTGGCAGAAGATATCAGACACACTAAGAGATCCATCAGCTTTTGTGGGGAATGGCAGCTGTGCTGATAGCTCTGTTGGCTTCTGAGGCTACAAGGGGGCCACAAATTGCTTTTATTCTCAGTGCTGAGACATCCTCCATGAGACTGCAACTGTCAGCACATACAGCTTTATTTTAAGCCAAAATGCTTACCTTGACCACTGGTGTAGTCAGATTCTGTTCAGCAGAAAAGAGTCCCAGCTGCCATAGTGGTTTTAGGTAAGTTTCAAGAATAAAGGGTAAACCAGCGGAGTTCTCTCTTACCTCTGGTCTTCCTCAGAACAACCAGGTCAAAAGTCTTGCTAGAGATACTGGGATGGAAAGGTTGATGACTGCTTGAATTGATCCCAGTGTCTCAACCCTCAGGTGATCTGAAGTTTGGGAACATGGTGTACCTAGAAATGTGTGTAGGGTAGGGGTAAGAGGGGGAAAATGGCAGGCACAATGATCTTGGGTTGGTTTAAGTTTTCAGGAAGAAGGACAGAAAGAAAGAAAATTTCCTTATTTCACATTTCACTGAGCTTTGGATTAAATATAACACTTTGCAAGAACGGGGAGAGATGTGAGAATCAAAAAGGTAGTATCTTAGTTTTTTAATCCCCTTTTTCTCGCACCCTGCAAGCAAGAATTCCCAATGATGCTGCCCTTGCAGCTTTTTTACATGATCAATCATACTGATTCTCATTTACTTTTATGTGGCTTAAGGGAATTTAAGATTCTTGCACAGCTCCAATTAATAGTAACTGAGTTTGTGCTTGTGTAATCAAAACTTGCCTCTAAGATGACATTTATTTCTGTGAGGAAGGAGGATAAAGCTAAGCTGGAGATTTTATGGGATACTGAGAACTGGCATTTCATGGAGCGCCCATGTTCCTGTGGCTGTTCTTTTCAGCTATAAATTTTTAATGATAGAAATTTAAGACTTAATAAAATCAGGAGTATCATGAAATCTGAGGAAAACTAATGTGGCAGTTTATTCCAGTAAGAAAGAGCAGGCTGTTAAACGAATCCCTGTTTGGATTCATTTAACTTTAGCACCACTGCATACGGCAGCTTGCTGAGAGCGAACACCTCCCCCCAGCTGCTGTGTAAAGCAAAGTCATGGTCTTGTACAGGAGCCAGATTAATTCAGTTCCTGGAGCTGTGTGTCATGACATAACGAGGTCTCACCAAGCTGGACTTTTCTGAGGCTTCTTTCTCAGAAATCTGCTTTATGAGAGAGAAGTTGTGCTTTGTAGTTGCTCTTAGACACTTTAACTCACATCAGGTAAAGAAGCCATGAACAACACAGCCAATTATCCCATAGGCAAGTCAGCGAGATCACTATTTGTTAGGAGAGTGTGTGTGCTAAGCAAACACTGCTAATCTTCTAAACCCAATCTTTGCATGCTTTGTTCAATAGCGAGATTTTTGTGCTTTATAGTGTTGCTGCTGCTTATTGCCGAGGAACGCGCACTGTGCAATTCTGACTGAGAACAACAACTTGCCCTTTTATTTCATTAAGGAAAGGTAAGATACAGGTATAATGTACCTAGACAAAGTGTCTGGTGGTTTGGGAAGCCTATGTTAGGGAAGAATTATCTGAAGTGACCCACTGTCATTTGCATCTCCCGCCCTTTATCTGAATCAGTGCAATCAGTATACATCAGGGACAAATCAATGTGTAAGCAGTGCAGGCAGTGTTCTTACTGACATTACATGAGGAATGTTTTGTGTTGCCAGGTGCCAAAGACTGAAAAGACATCAGGAACATATAATGTGTGGAATGTCTTTTAAAAACAGAGTGAAGGAATAAAAAAATCTATCTCCTTAGACTTTTGTGTAATAAGCTCTATATTAGTTAACAATGGTATGTGTTATTAGTACAAAAATAAATTTTAAAAAATTCCTTTTATCAGTAATGCAAAACAAAAAACATACCCTCTTTATACTTGCAGAGAAATTACCTCTTCATACTATGCTAATACATTATTTATATTTTACCTTGGAGACTTATTTATTTCAAGGCAAGCAAAAAACCCACTAACTTTAAAGGGCAAGAATTTAATCACTAAGCCTAACTAAGAGTCTCTTGACAATTTTACCAAGACGGAAAATATCTAAGGTTGAAAAAGTAATGATTTGCTTAATGGTTCTTTTTGGTATAATAAAAAACAAAACAAATGCCTGAAGTATTACTGGGCTAATCTAAGTAGTTCACCCAGAGCTCCAAAATTTTGTGTATTTCATAAGAAAGGCTTATCTACCAGGCCTTGCTTCAAAGGGTCTTTATTGTAAATGGGTAGGAGATGTTGTCAGATGAGAGCCCTTTTTAAAGCTTTGTTATTTGTACATTGTCACACAATGTTTTTTCAAAAGCTATATACCAAAACCTGCATATTGCTATAACCCCTTGTTTCCCTCAATGAGAAGAGTGATGTCCCAGATTCATTTCCAAGTAGGAGATGATGGTAACTTCAAGGCTCCTCCCCTTCCTCATCTTGAGGACATAGAACAGTTGGGATGTTAATTAGCCCTGCAGGGATTCCTTCATTTCAGCCTCAGCAGTTCCTGCAGGGGCTCTATCCTCCCATGGCTGGAGTTTGTTCAGTAGCCTGGTTAATGACATAGCTGTGACATGGGAGCTGCTCCCAAGCTCTCTCCAAGTCATCTGTGACTCAGGGTGCAGCTGGGCCACTCCATCATTGAATTGGTCTCTATAAAGATAAGTGTTGCAGAGTTACAAAGAGGAAATAAGTCCCTTCACAAAAAAGAGTTTAAATACAGTCGTATGCTTATTTATTTCCATACTAACATGGGTGTTTAAAAGATAAACTTCAGATCAATTTTATTCACACATTCTGATACAAGATATACAAGTCATGCACTTCATTCTGTGCTGTGATGCTCTGGGACTCACTGCAATCAACATGAGGTGTGATATCTCACAAATTGCAGTGCCAGCATAACTCATGCTTCAGCTGAGCTGAACAAAAGATCTGCTTTTAATGTGTGATGCTACAAAGATAACAGGACTTAAAGTGTTGAATTCTGGCAACCATTTGTATATTGTTGCATTTACAACAAACTGAGACTCTGATTCAAAGTTCACATCTGTCTTCATAATGGGAAGCCTTTATAGAAATGCCATGCAGACCAGCAATCTCTGAAAGTTTATTCCATAGATAATTCTAGTTGATTTTCCATTTATTTCTACTGTATATCTATGAGTGCTGTAGATATGTAGAATACTTCTTAGTATTTCTATTCAATTCTCATTGTGTTGCAGCTGTATTATTGTAACAGAATGTGAATTGAAAAGAAATACTAAGTGTTTTCAATTTCCGTTTTGTTGTGTTGCAGTGTGACTTGCTACGTTTTTCATTGCAATAATTGGACATAGTGCTGATACACATACACATAAATAAGGACAGTCAATTTGCTTTGAGCTCTGGCACGGCAGAACTACTTAACTACCATTGTATATCACTTTTCATTTTAACATCTAAACTTAAGATAGCAATAAAATAAGGATGAACATGCATTTTCATGACTGCCATGATTTAGAGAAGGTTTCTGAGCTCAGGTTGTAACAGCCAGCAAAGTTTTGCATTTTTAAGGGTAGATGGTTGTTCTGAATATTTGTTATATTTTTAAAACTCATACTCATACTGTGGCCTGAAGCCACCCAGAATGGAAGGCAGAAGAGAAAGAGGAAAGGTAGAGCTTTTTCTGGAAAGTAAGTAAGATATTAGCAGTTTTTAAAATTTGGCACTGTTTTCACTGGAGTTCTGTTAGACTTTTGCTGGAGTGTGCCAGTATCACACAAGAAACAGTTGGTCAGTATTATATCATCTGCCTCTTTATGTTCAGTCTACAGAGCATATGGAGTTTGTCCAGTGAAAAGAAGTCAAGGCTCGTGGTGGCAGGATTTATGCTCCCAGTTTGGAAAGGCCCAGAAAAAAATCCAGGGAATTGTGCAGATGAACACCATCCCATTTCCCTAGCATTGAGTGGAGTATGGGCACTCTTCAATCACTTTTTGATAAAATAGGCATAAATCAAGTTTCACATGAGAGAGAATATCCTTATGCACACTCTGGCTTCTGTGCAGTAGTTCGGCAGCTTCCCTCGTGATGGCAAAGCTTTAAGTGGAGAGATGCACTTGTGCAGTGATTGGAAAAAGAGAGACATTGGAACCTGTGTGACCTTCATGAGAGTCTCCCACTTAGTGCTACTTTCCTACTCTCTGACACATGCTAGGGGCCTCTAAAAATCTGTTTCTTTTCTCAAGTGTGGTTTTGGCCTGAAAGGGATGCAGCATGGGCAGCCTCATGACCTTCACCTTCTTTTCTAGATCAGGCCAGAGAACATTTTGCTTCTCTTTCCTGTTGCTTTCCCATGTATTCTGTAAATTATTAAGAGAATCAGATGCATCACTCCTGCCAATTTTAACAGAAAGAAAATTACAACTAGAGAATAAATTGTTTCAAGTGTATAAATTGCCTTTCTCTACAGCCTTTTATTCTTGCAAAGGGAGGCAATCACTTATCTTGCCTAACCTTAAATCCTGCTTGGTCAGGAATCTGCAGATCTGGGAACCACCATGGGTCAAGGAGCTGGGAGACAGCCAGAGGAATGTAAATACTTTGTGGCCTGATAAACAGCAAAACCATATTACAACCCACAAGGCAAAATAAAAAACCAACAAAACCCCACCAAAAAAAAAAAAAAAAAAAAAAAAAAAACAAAAACCAACCAAAAAACCAGCCACCAACCCAAAAAACTTAACAAAACAATTTTCATTCATTGTATGCTGTCACTAAACCTACTGGAAGCCTTACTGGTGTGGCTTGTCCGTGGGAGGACAGCTGCCACATCTAGCCTGATATGTGTGTGTATAACTAAGGCTCTTGGCAGTGGCTGAAAGCTGTTTTTCATCACCTTTCCTAATTTTTGTGGTCTTGTTCGATGTGAATCTGAGGACCCATTACACCTATAGAAGTGAAGAGGCAACCCCTTCTCTCCAGTGCCTTTGACTGGGAGGGCATGTGTGTGTGACCCACTGCCAGTGCACTGAGCAAAGCCCATCTGCAGCCAGTCAGTGACTGATTCCAGTGTGCAAAACTGCACAAGGATAGATAGTGCTCATCTTTAAGGCAAGGGCATTGTTGGTCCATGAAAGTGTAAAGAGTTATTGCAAATATCTTGTAATTCATTTCCCACAAAAGACAGTAATGGCTCAAAGGAGCCCTCACAGGCTATAAGGTAAATAAACTGAGTGTTAATAGCTCCCAGGTAGGTCTGCTTAGCGCCACTCAGAGTACATTTTTCAGGAAAGGTTCCATGTGGCTGTCACCATTTAATAGTTTCTGATGGCAGGAAGAATATTTGCTCTGAAAGACCTTGGACTATGAACGTGGAAGAGTTTTTGTGTGTGGGTTTTACTTTTTGCTTTAAAGGATATATTCTTTCCTTCAATTTAAAGGTCTTTTAAAGACCAAGAAAATAGAATATTATAGGGAAATAAGATGCTTAAACTAGGATGAATGAAAATATTTTTAGAGAGACCCAGCATATTTCAGGTTAAGATGTGAGTGCATAATAACAGAGAAAACATTTTAATGATCTGCTGATCAAACATTCAGAGTCCAAGGTTATGCACTTTTCAGTGTGTACGGGGGCAGAATTTGACCTACTCCTGTAAAATCTCCTTCCTCCTTATACAGCTGACACAAGGGCACAGAGTCACAGCAGTCCCTGGTTGCTTCCTGTTAAGGAAGAAAATCGCTGGAAAGGTGCTGGGATCTCTTCCTCAGCCTGTGTCCCTGGATGACCCATTCAGGTGAGCACCTGTCATGAGGACTGCACCTCACAGCCCTGGACAGTTAACTGTGAAATCATCACAGAATTATTCTCAGGTTTCCAATGTACTTATATCTACTGATGTAAGAGGTAGTTTATTTTCTCTTTTTGAAGAATTTACATCTGTGCTTCAAACTACCTTAATCTAAAATCCGCATAGTTTGATCAAGTGTTTTGCTGGTGCCATCAAGTGGCAAAATGTTGGATTGCAAAAGTCCCACAGCAACCAAATTGACTCAAATACCTCTTGAACAGGACCAGTGAGGAAAATAATCCCTGGCAAGCCTCCTCCAAAAATACATATGTATAAATATGTATGAGAAAAATGGACTGAAGTACACATGGTGTCATGATTACTTCATGTACTTCAGTTTGATCTGGATTTTAACAAGTGGAAAGGCTAATATTTTTGAGTATTACTAGTTGATAAATATAGGCAACCTGTAAAGCAAACTCAGAGATCCTTGTTGAAGAGCTACTTGAACTGAAGTGGCACAATGCTGTATTCTGAATTTCTGTCTTTGTTGTCTTCTGTTACTAGCTAATCTCTTTTTACAGAACATGGCCCTTTGATTTCATATCATAGCTGCACTTCATATGATCACAGTAAAATGAATATTCAGTTTGCTGCTGTATTCTCTAACTTCATAATCTGGTTAACTGAAAATTTAAACTTAAAGTTCATCATTCATACACACATCGCTTTTTTTTTTTTTTTTGGCCAGCTGAGTGACATCATGGTATTGTTCAGTAGGAAGGCCTCTGTGCAAAGGAAACACATACATTTATAAAGCTTATGCTCTATTTCCTTGTAAAATCCAAATAAATTGGTATGTTTTTGTCTTGATTTCTCAGGGGACTGCTAATATCAAAACTCATAGATGCTGCCAGTGTGGAAATTATCCTGTGTTTCAAAATCATGTAGGGCTGGATTTTGAGAAGTGCTGAGCACCTATGCCTGACTTAAAAATTCCTGAGAATGCTGAGCATTGCTCCCTGTTAAAACCTGGCTCTTACATTTCCTTACCACACACACCTAACACTCAACAGAACCTATGGGAATGCCTCAAATAGGTACAGGCTCCAACTTTTTGCCCTAAAATGAGTTATTTCTACACTCTGGGCATCACTTTCAGCTCCTCCTTCTGCCAAAGGGCTCACAGAATCCAGCCAAGCTGCATGGTGCTTTTCACTGACAAGAGTCTGAAAACAGGTCCCCACGAAAAAACAAAACCAACAACAGAGAGCAAATGAGAGTGTGAAAATGACGGAAATGCAGGTGGAAAGATCAGCCATAGTCAGTAAGATTTTCCTGGCATTAGAAAAAGCCTTACATTTTAATTAATTCTCACTGTGGATACTTCCTGACGTTTTATTTACAAATTCTATTATAAGCATGAGTATATTTAAGCTTCTTATACTTTCTCCACTGAAATTTGTGCCAGTACTATGAGAAGCACAAACACGAAAATATTTCATTTGAATCTTGCCCACTTCATCTTTTTACTCTGTAATTATTTGCACTAGACTAAGCTTTTAATTAATATCTAGCCTGTATCTCTGATATGTTTGGAGATCAGTGAAACTGATGCTATCGGGGTTACTGTAGCTCTGTTGCTTGCCTGTTTTCTGTGTTTTACAGAAACTTAGTATGGGGGAAAGGCTACACTCCTTGGCCCCTGAGTAGCACCTTCAGATTTTAGGTACCTGTGTATGCTTTGAGCAACTCTCCTGCAGTAACATTTTACTGTGAGAGTTGTCCAAAACCAGCAAATGGATGTCATTATCATAGGTGTAGTAGCTATGAAGTAGCTACTAACATGAAGTAGCTTGCTAACCTCTTCTCCCTTTCTGACTGCTACATTGGTTTTCTGAGATGGGGCATGTAGTTGCAATGACTCATCTGCTCTCTCATGAGGTACTATGTCTGAGTTGGCCAAAATCTCTCCTGGTTTGCAGTGTGAGTGTAGGAATGTGGAGACATAGAATAACATGCCACCTGGGCAATTTCCACCTTGTGGAATAGAAATGGCTTGTTTCTGGACCTCTTTTTTTCTCTAGAGTGAGATTCACTTGGATTGGTTTGGGGCTCTACACTAGTGTGCCTGCACATCAAATAATCCAAGGGATTGCATATTCAGAAAAGACAAACACAAGAGCAATGAAAATTCTTGTTTCAAGCTCATTTGACATCCTTTCACCTGTCCTATCACTGTGGCATCACAGCACCTTGCCATGGTTCTGGGATGGAAATTCCATCAGCATCATTTAACAAATGTGAGTGCTGGACTCTCCCCTGGGATGGGGTAACCCTGCTTATAGGAACAGATTGGGTGATGAGAGGCTGGAGAGCAGCCCTGGGGAAAGAGATCTGGTGCTTGGGTTGATAGCAAGCTGAAGGTGAGTCAACAGTGTGCTCTGGCAGCTGAAAGGGCCAGCTGTACCCTGGGGTGTGTCAGCAGAGCACAGTGAGCCAGGTGAGGGAAGTGACTGGGAAGTGACTCCTGCCCTGCTCTGCCCTGGTGCAGCCTCACCTCGAGCGCTCTGAGCTGGTTTGGGTGCCTTAGTGGAAGAAGCACATCAAACTGTCAGAGTGAGTCCAGAGGAGGGGACCAAGATGGTGAAAGGTCTCAAGGGCAAGATGTGCAAGGAACAGCTGAGGTCACTTGGTTTGTTCAGCTGGGAGAAGAGAAGGTGAAGGGTGATCTCCACAAAGTCTAGATCTTCCTCAAGGGAGGCAGAGGTGCTGATCTCCTCTCTCTGGTGACCAGAAATAATAGGATGTGAAAGAATGGCATGAAGGTCCATCAGGGAAAGTTCAGGATGGATATTTGGAGAAGGTTCTCCACTGTGTGGGTGACCAGTCACTGGAACAGACACCCCAGGGGAGTGATCATGGCACGAAGTGTGTCAGAGTCCAAGGAGCATCTGGACAGTGCTCTTAGTCATGGTTTAGTGTTAGATAGTCGTGTGAGGAGCAGGAAGTTGGACTTGGTGATCCATATGGGTCCCTTCCAAACTGTGATGTTTTATAATCATTTCACGTAAAGGTTAGCTCATGATAACAAAGAGGAGAGCAAGGACAGGAAGGCAAGTTTCCAGTCTTTGAGTAATGTTTTAAATCTTTGACATTCTAGCCTGCATCTTCTGTTCCTGTTGGAAAGGCTGCAGGACTGAAGGCTATCATTGGACTTTTCTGAGTCAGCCTCAAGCAGAGTGCTCTGCTTTCAAAGCTTTCCTGTAAGTCAGTAATGGTGATCTGAATCCTACATGAGTGTCTGAACAACACCAATTTGGCATCATCATTTGCCTATACTTCAGTTAGTGAGTTTTTTTTTTTTTTTTTAATGCTGTCATGAAGAAAAAGAAGTCTTGGAACTGCCACCTGGAGGTGGCACCAACCTCAGTATATTTTAAAGAATAAATTGGCTGTGGTTAGAGTCTAGGAAAAGGAGCCCTAATTCCAAAAGCATTCCCCAACAGCTCCTCAGCTGTTGTTCCTAGACATATCTCTACTTTTACAACAGCTTTCTGAAAAAGCTGAGCACTGAATTTTCATGTTTATGCCTATGGTATTTGGGAATGCTGTAAATTAGGCCAAAAATGAAATCTTTAAGTTCAGGAAGATTGTTTGGGACAACAGCCAACAGTAAATAGTTATCAAATGATGGGCAAAAAAGAAAAACAGAAATTTGGAACTTCAAGTGTTTCAGCAAAATATTGTGTAGAGATTTGTGAGTACCAGTATATTTCCACATTAATATTTAGGGCATTGTGAAAAAAAAAAAAGCTTAAAGTGCCCATGCAGATATTTGTGCATCTCAGTCTAAATTGCTGTTCAAGCATTTTGCTGCCTGGTGCTTCTCTTGTTGAAACCACTTCACTTAAACATTTTGACTATGAGAAGTATATGTCTAGCCTATGTTGGCTGAGGGTCTTTTCCACTACCATAAGGTGTACATCCATTAATGTACATGGAGATCCAAATGAGATCCTTTTCCCTTGCTCAGTTGTCTTCTGGCAGTACATGTAGATCAAGTCCCCTGTGCTTCCTTTCTGCTCCTCAGGGAAGCTTGCAGCAATGAAGGAATGTCCTGAACTCTTTATATCTGAAAGAAAAAAACCAAACAAAACCAGAATGTCTTTTGATAGCAGCAACAGTGATGGTTACCTGAAGTGTTTTAAACAATGACAACTTGGCTCTGTTTTCATGACTGACTTACTCAGCTTATTTTGGCTAATGCCATTAGGATGAACTGTCACTAGGAGAAGTTAGTACAACAGCAATTGTCAATTGTTTAATGAAGGTTGGGTCAAGTCAATGATGTTTTGCTCAGTGAGGGGAAGAAAGAAGGGGATAGATGTGTGCAGCATGTGCATCTTGCCGTGTTATTGAGTATCAGCTGCCAGCACATGCATACCTGCACTCTCAGCAGCATATGGACAGCGAATATATGCAATAGCACAGATGGAAGCTTTAGCATCTAATTCCCACTGATTTCAGAATTTGTAATTTATGCCTTGAAAACTTCCCCTCTCCATCTCTAGAGAGGGGTGAGAATGTTACTGTTTAGTAGCTAAGTTCAGACGGAAGGAATGCTGTTGGGCACTCTCATGGATGTACTAAAGGCTGAGGATACTTTGCACATTTCCATACATTGCTGTCATTTGACACCAAGCAGTTTGATGTTTATGGTGAACCAAAATAAGAATCTGATGTGCCATAGAGTATCAGAAAACTTTTCTGTTTCTCAGTTTCTGAAGGAAGTCAAGCGTTCACTTACAAGTTGTGTCTAAAATTTTGCCCCCAATCTGAAAGTAGTCAGGCAGATGCCAAGTCACCTGTGTGGCTGTGATGTTTGTATTCATTAGGGCAGCTCTCACTGGAAACATTAATAAACCATTCCTGGTGGCTGCTCTCTATAGGCTACCAAGCTGCAGAGCAACCACTTTACCTTGGACATAAAAGAGAAGCATTGCACACAGAGGTCTGATCATCTAGTCAGTTCAAACAGGACTGTGTAAAACTTAAAATATTTACAAGTCTCCTTCTCCCAAATAAACATTTATAGCCAATGGTGATCTAGTGACGTTTGAGATCTCAACACACATAAAAAATGTCTCAGCCCAGAGATTATCAAAAAAGGGCTAAGGTGAACATATTTTTAAAGTGTCTGTCATGAACAATCCTTAAGATTCTCAGCACTATAGACAATTATTTGATAGACACTATTAGGGTTTCTAACTTCCACAATAGTAGATTTATTCTGAATTCTGACAGACAACTTCCAGCTTTCTGGCCCGTTTTTTTTTCCTGAGAAAAAACCCACCACCCAAAATATAATGTTCTGGGATCAGAACATCAGTTTTCTAGTGCCTTCTTTACTATTAAAAAGTTGCATTTTTCCCTTCAGGTTTGTTTTGTATGTCATGTGGATGTCAAACCAGAGTGTAAGAATACAGTGTCTTACATTATGAGCTTGTGAAGGCCTCCAGTAATTGTTTTGATCAGTGCGTGAGGCCAACACATCTGAGGGTGTGTGCTGCCAACAGCTTCCAGCAGGTCGTGCAAGGAGAGTTCTTATTCATACTGGCATTTTAATTCAGGACTCTGCTTTTGACATGAATCTCCCAATGGTCTCTATTTTGCAGTACCTTGGTCTTGGAGTACATGAACTGGGTTCCTTATGGATGTAATTATCTGAAAGCTGTGTTCCAGAAATATTCCAGTAAGGTACCACAGCCACAAATGGACCCTTAATCCCAAGTAAAGAGCATCTGAAATGTGTTTTTTTGGCACCTCAGATCCTCAGCACCCACTGTTTCACTCTACACATCTTCTCCTGTAGTCCACAATGTGTGCCAAATGTTCATGTCACTGAGCAACATGCAGATCTGGAATTAATTGAATTTTTTTTAGAGTGGGATGGTCTGAATTTGTTTTTATTATCTGTTTCCAATAAACCTATAAATAACTATGCACATAATCTTAGGATATCAATGCTGAATCTATCTGATGATAGGGTAAAATACATAGGATACCTTCTTTGTATATATATATATATGCAACTTAGCATTATTCAAATATATGTGCATGCTTCTGGTTATTCAGGGGCACAGTCTAGCCATGCAAATATTGGTAGCAAATGCTCCAGTCCAAGAAAAAATTGTAATAAAATTAAAATTAATGGATTAATTATTTTAAATGCTGAGAACAACTGTCTTATTTATTTATTTATTTATTTATTTATTTGTATTTATGTGACTATGAAAAAATGTAACATTTTAAAAACATATGATATTGTAAAACATGCAGCCATCTTCTTTTCAGGTATGAATTGGGGTGTTCCTGTGTGTGTTGACAGTAGCAGAAAAATATAGTTTATGATGTGTGTTACAATACAGATTTTCATGGTCACAGAGAAAAGAATGTTACAGCCTTGCTATGTGTATTTAATGTTTGGGTTTCAGAATTGGGTCTAACATAGTTGTCATCTGAAAGGTGCCTTGCTGTTGCATTGCTTAATTTTTCCTTTTTCTGGGTATCCTGTGTAGCTAACACGATTCTTTCCTGGATATTCATTAAAATTTAAATCAGGCCTGTAATACAGTAAACTTCCAAACCTATTAATAGTTAAAAGAGTGCAGATGGAAATTCACCAAATTCCTGCAATGCAAGGAATACCACAAAAACTTGCCTCAGGGCAGATATGTAAGTGGGAGGCATCAAGACAGAGCTTGACAAGTGTTAGAATTCAATAATATCAAAGTATTCTTACTGAAATTCAGATGTTGGATAGGAGACATTACAAATATAGAAAGAATTTATCAATTGTAGTAAATCAGAAGCCTGCCAGAAAGATGGAAACTAGGACCTGATTTTGCTAACAATAGAGAGAAAATCTCATATGAAAGAACATTGGAGGACTTGAGGCTTACTCTGGAATCCATGATGTATGGAAAAAATACAAATTTAGATTGAAAAAAAAATGTCATGAGTGTCAAGCAGCATGGAAGTTCAGCTTTCCAGACCTTTAAAAATTACAGGAATTCTGCCATATCCTGCCCCCCAGCTATTAGTAGAATTGAGCCTGTAAAATATAGTCAAAACACATTGATTCCTAAAACTTCCTGATTACATGCTGATGATTACAAAAGCTAACTGCAAGCTTCCTTTATTTTAAATTTTAATTTAAAAGTTTATTTCAGTAATTCTAGGTCAAACTGTAATCTAGGGGAAAAAAAAAGATTTAAAACAGGAGAAGATACCATGATAAATGTTGGCGATTGATTTGTCAAATATGCTCATTTTTTTTTCAAATTAGAAATAAATGTAATATCTGTGTTCATTTTATTCTTTATGAAAATTATTTCAGGAGATTTTGAATGCTAAAACCACAGTATAGTTTATTTTAGCAGTCCTCTTTTCAGCAGTGACAAACATATTTCCTGGGGGACTGACAGACTATTGCACAAAGTAGAAGATACTCTGTTTCATTAAAGCAAAAATAAAAAAGTATGTCTTGCCAGAAAAGCATAACCATGAGAAAATGCTTTCAGTAACAGCAAATTGATATCAAATACTTCTAATGGAATAATTTTCCTTTACAAGTTCTGCTCTTACCTGTCTTGAGATAGTCGGACAAGCAAGGAATTTGGAATGGAGTTAGTGCTACATTCAAATTGAAGGTTCTTGATAGGACTTCAGGTCTCTAATTTTTTTGGTAGTGTTGGGTCAGGTTATGCAGTAGCAGGTTGTCATGTTTCATATTTGAACTTTTAGGGGAAGATGCAGGATAAAATACCAAATACCAGAAAATTTGTTGCTGCATCTGAATACTAAGGAGAAAACAGATGAGTTCTGCCTAATTCTGGCAAGTGTCTACAGGAAACAGTGGTTGCTTTTACTACTGCTACTGGTTATTTGTACCAGGTTACAAAATAAAACAAGCATAAAAACAAAATGAAAAGTAGCAGATTAAAGAGGTGGGATACTATTGCTTTGTGTTACTGATGAACAGAAGCTGGTAATAAACTTTCAAGTAAGAGCATAAAGTTTGGATTCGCACAGAAAAGGACTTCTGCACAAGAAGTCTCACTTGGTGAATTCAGTTTCACTGTGAAGTTCCAGTCCCACTCTGAAAAGGACTTTAAACTCATGATACTTTTAATAGAAAATATCTTTTTCCTTAACTGCCATTTTGTCTCTCCATCTGTGCTTAGGGGAAATGATTCAGTCCTGCTTTCACTTGAAAAAATTTGTATTTCAACGCTGGTTGATCAGCTGATTGTGAGGAGAGGAGCTATACTAGGTCAGTGTAAACCCCTGAGCTCTCCAGAGCTCCATGCAGGCATTTATAGCTAAACAAGGTGCCTCTGCTTTGGGCTGCTCTCTTGTGCAAGACAAAAGCACCAGGACTTTTACTTTCTATCAGATGAAGCTTTGGTTCACAGTGACAAAGAGTCTTCTCCAAGGAGAAGACAAAAAGACAAAAAACCACCATCAGTTTCTTAGACAAAGTAGACAAAGAAGCACTACTGCTTCCTTCCCATCCACCAAGAGCCAGCAGAGCATTCCCTTGTATCTGTGCCTGCTTCTTCTGGGACAGCCCTGGGGAAGCCCTCAGGAACCTGTTTGCTCCATTACAAGCGCAGTGTGGAATAATGGCTAGATCAGTTCACAAAGGGAAGCACTGAATTCACTCTGCTTTCCACACACTGTGACAAGACTCCTTTTGACTAAAACACAATGGCTCATCATGTGAAGAAGGCCGAGAGGCCTTGGTTTTACATCCTTACATTTTGAGGTGTACTTTTAAGACTTCTGTGTTGCTCTGCACTAATGATCTGCAAGCTTTTGGATATGGACCTTAAAATGGGAAGAAGAGTCTGAGAAGAGTCTCAAGGAGAAAAGAGCAATTCATATTGATCTGACTGGTAGGTTTGCTATCCTGACTTTGGCGAAGCTTTGACAGAAAGGATATTTTAAACAAGTCCTCTTCTTCTCTGGCATATGTCAGTAAAATGGAAAGGATTTTGCTTTGCCTTATTAAAATAGGGAACTAATTCGAAAGTATTTGAAATATGTCATTCTTCCGGGATGTCTGGGAATTTCAGCCATGTGTTTTTGAAGGAAAGAAGTTGATGTAGCATATTCAAATGAAAAAAACTAAGCTAATTCTATCATGCTGGCAATTTATAGAGTATTGGGTAGGTCTAATATGGTGTCTATATGAACACTGTGGGAATCTTACATTGATGACTCACATTCAAGTACAACTGGCTTGCAATGAAAAAAATGTTCTGAATTGTTGATCCATAATCTGCAAGTGGGCAAGAAACAGAAATCAGACTTTCCTTCAAGCAGAACTGCTGTGGTTCTGCTAAAACTTGCAATGCTATGCACTTCTGAGTCCATATTGTTCCGACCCCAGTGGAATTTCCTTTCTCCGAAGCTTTACTAGCCTGTTTCAGAAACTCATTTCTGGCTGCCAGAATTACAGATGGAGCCTGTGACTAGCAGATTTTTTGCCCCTGCCTGTTGCACATATAGGGAGGTCCCAAATTTCATGGGTTCTCTTTGCAACTCCATGACAGCAGCTGCCCACTGTGGCAGTGATGTGTGCCATCAGTTTTACTTCATCAGTCTCATAGCATTCAGCCATCATCCATAGCACCAGATCATGATTTGACTGCACTCAACTTCAAATCCACATTATGCAGACAGGCTTAAACCTGTCTGCAGTCTTACCCAACACACCAGCACCAGGACCCCTTAATCACCACAATCCACCATCCCTCATCAAAAGGGTTCATATAGGACATATATGTCCTATGTCCCTGCAGCTGCACTAGTCCAAACCCACCATTTAAATAATAAAATTTGCCTTCAGCTCCAGAAAATTAGTTCCTGCACAGCACTTCCAGGTGGCTGGCTCGGGGTTGCAGTCACTGACACCTTCCTTTAGGAGCAGGACCCAGACCAAGGGTCAGGACATCCCGAAGAACAGTGCTCTGCTCTCTAAACACAGTCCAATGCATGCAGGGGAGCCCACACTGTCTGTCCAGCTCTGTTCCCTGGAAAATGGGCCCAATTCCTTGGCAGAAGAATCCAAGGGGATTTTAGCACAGTGACCAAAGTCACAAGTCCTTATTGACCCAGGGGAAATCACCCACAAGGAAATCAGAAGTTTCCAGGATGATATCTCTCCAAAGCAGGAGCCACCATCATACACATTGCAGCCCCAGAGCTTTCAGAAATCCATGATCAGGAGAATGAATTATCTCACTGGGAGGCTTTGCTGAGGAAAAGCTCCCAGTAGGAAGAACTAAGAAGGTATAGGAAAATGATACATGATTATTTTGAAAAATGACACCAAAGTAAAAATTTATTTCTAAATGTAACAAATATTGTGCTTACAGAACCCTAAAGAAAAATTATTCCAACACATTCACAGTATTTGGAGATCAGTTCCTCTCTACCCAACCATTATTGTCTGTCTCTTTGGAAGAAAAGCCTTAAGAGGAAACTGTAGGGCTGAACTCTGAATTAAGCTTACCTTCTTATTCAGTGCACTGTGATTATGCTTTGGTGTGTGTTCTGGCAGTGTTTGACATCACAGCAAGAGGGTTTTGGGGAGCAGCACCCAGGATGAGGCAGCTGGTGATGCCAGCAGGGGTTTAACTGTTGACTGGGGTGGAAGGATGTTAGAGCACACCTGGGAGCTGGGATCCCACACACATGTAGGTCATGTGCAGTTTTATCTCTCCTGAATGAAGCAACAAATACAGCCACAAACCAAGACAGTTTGTTACAGAAAATTTGATTGGGAAGAATTTAATGAAGTCATGGGGATGTTGGTTCAATTCTTGACAAATTGGCTGAGCCTAGTGGATTTCAAGTAATGCAGACAGCACAGCAGCAAGACTTCCATGAAGTGCCAGGTTTTTATTCCTGTTCCTGGAGATACCAATATTCTTTGCTAAGATCTTGTGGGATGTTCACACCATCCTTCAAAACAGTTGGAGCTGGCCACCACTGGTGCAGTTTGGATTCTGGTTAAGTTGACTTGCTGGGTGCTTTTACCTTCCTGTGTTTGACAGACATGGTGATAGATTTTGATCTGTTTTACTTCCTTCTGCTGACCTTTTCTCTCAATATGTTTTTTTTTTTTTTTTTTTTTGCTTGAATTGACTGTAAAACAAATGGATGCATTTGAAAAGAGTGGTTTTTCTGTTGTTTTTTCTCACCAGTGAGAGTAAAACTAGCTGGAGGTCCTACTTTTCTTGGAAAAGCAGTGTGAAAAAAGCTGGAAGCATGTCTTTTGGCAAGTGATAGTACATAAATAGCTTTTCTGAATACCTATTAAATGCACCATTGTTTTATTAATAACCAGTTGAGCCAGTAATTGGTTTATTATGATTTTGAACCACTGATTTGTTTTTAACCTGGATGGCTTGGCCATCATATTAAAGTGAACTAAGCTTTAATGTTTGTGCCATGTGCAAGTGTACAGCTATATCAGTGGTTTCCAGAGTTCACAAGTTTAATATATTCTAAAAAAATAATTATTTCAGTATGTCTTATTCATGCTCCATCTTACTCTAGAGCTGAATGTTTGGAAAGGCTCAGCAGAATATTTTCCTTCATTTCATTAATTACTCAACTGTTGAAAAATGTCTGTTATTTCCTTCCAAAAATATACTACGGAAGAATTAGAGTTGTGGTTTTAGGATACAATGGGAATGGCCTGCCTCAGCTGTTATTATAGAGGGTGTACTGACTGGAAGAAAAAGGCTTAGGACATCAGTTCTACACTCTGAATCTTTACACAAAAAGGTCATCCCCCAAATGTAAATCTATCAGTACCTTAGTTGTGTGTTTCACTGGCACCTGTATTTCCCCATTACTGAATTTCTTTGGGAAAAAACTAACTGGGAGGATGAAGGTCCTTGATACATCTCTTTATAGCTCCCTAACCAGGCTACAGTGGATGTCCTGTGCTGATGGAGCAATGGTGTCAGGGAAAGATGGATATCACAAAATCACAGAATTCTTTAGGTGGGAGGGGACTTCTGATGGTCACCTGGTGCAGCCCCTACCCAGGCAAGGCCACCTAAGTCAGGCTGCCGGTGACCATGTTTGCAAGGATCTATCACCCCCTCTCTGGGCTCAGGCTAAGTGCTTCCCTGTGTTCAGATGGACCATCCCATGTTTCAATTGATGCCCATCCCCTCTGGTCTTCTCACTGGGCACAAATGGAAAGAGCCTGGCTCCCTCTTCTTCTGCAACCTCCCTTCAGGTGTTTGTACACATTGATGAGATCCTTCCTGAGCCTTTCTTCTCCAGCCTGCACAGTTCCTGCTCAACCTTCCATCATATGAGAAATGTTCTAGACCCTTCATTAGCTTAGTGGCCTTTCACAGATCCAAAAAGAGCCAAAGCAAGCTGTTTATTGAAGTGAGAAATTATACATATTCTTATCCTTAAGCTGGTGTTAAACAGAAAAAACTAGAAAGAATTGATAGGCAGATTAATACACACTGAAACAAATTATCTCTTCAGGCTTTCTGTCAAATGCCACTGTAATTTCTTTCAAAATTTTATTTATTCTAGGAATGGTTATTAAAAGACAGAAAGTTGACATGACTTGTTAAGTTTTAAAGTTCATTATATAGATTTTGTAAAGCAAATGCTGTAGTTTCCATTTTCTAACTCCTCCAGGAGTTTGCCGTGCTAATTTACATCCCAGGTTCTATAAGGGAATAC